TGCGCCACACACGCCGGAATTCTCTTTCAGACATCCCCACATGTACGCCGCCTTCAGCTTTTGGTTCTGGAAGATCCACTGCTAATTAGATCACACAGTAATACCCTAAACTGTCTATGGCCTCAATGCACCTCTTTATCATTTACCACTGCCCCCGCTTTACGCCTTCATGAAGAAGAAAGCCATGGTGCGTTCAGGCCGGAGTTCCTTCAACCCAGCTGTGAAGGCTCTGAGGAGTTCGGACCAAGCGGGGAAGCAAATAGTGAGGGAGACATGCATCATTGCCTCTACGCAGGATGCGAGAGATCGTTCCTTCAACCAACTCAACTCGAAGATCACCAAGTTCGAGATCATGCCCGGGCAACGCCGGGCCAACCCGAAAATCCTACGGCATCCCTCCGACAAGAGACTTTCTTGGCTGCTTCATCAAGAAAGGGTAGCTACTCGCGGCTCCTCTTCCACAGCTCTCAGGGCGCAGATATACCCTATGATATTTCAGGCGAAGAAGACTATTGGCGATCAAGGCATGCGTCTCAAGGCTCAGACATTCCGCGCTATGTCCAAGCACCGCTAGATATCCTGGTCCCCGGAGCCCTGTGGAGTCTCAACGGCTATCAACCCCATTTTGGTGTGAGTCCTCGACTGGATCTTGGGACAATGTTGCCTCCATTCGCTGCGTACCCGACCCCTGGGGGTAAACGAAAACCAGCTTGCATTGAGGATCATCTCAGTCGAGATGCAAGTTGTGACTCTGGGATATATCTCGGTAGTCAAAGGAAGGAACGAAAAATAGTGCACCACCAAGATCTAGGTGAGCTTAAGGCTGAGGGGGGACCAAAAGCTGAAGCTGCAGGGGACCCTATATTCACTCCAGAACCTCGATGTCCATATCTAGAGAGAATTGGCTTAGCGGATGATAGCTTCATGCTTCAAAACCAACATATGGTATGTGTTTCGGGTTGTCGTATTTGAAATTAGACATTTCTTAGGCTTATGGGTAGACCGTGACACCGATATGGCCATATGATAGTCTTTCGGGGCCCCGTGAGCCATACGAAATCAGACGTCACTCGTTCGAGTCGCCTACATGGCTTTCCGAAAGTCCCCCGAAGTCACACGAACCATATGGGCTCAGACGCCATTCGTTCGAGTCGCAAAGTGTGACTCCCCCATCCCCTAAATACGCCGACAACTGCAGTCCGTTAGAGACATATGAAGAACAGTATATTCAACCAGAGACTACCGATGGTATTTCTCGCGTACCACTATGTCAAGAGACTGGAGACTTATCCACGAGATCTGTCTATGGAGATAACACCAACCAAACCAAGAACTCTAGTGGTAAGGAAGTGGCATCTCCCAAAAAGCAACTCCCACAGCCCTATAGTCATGAGCAACTTTCAAAGTGGATGAACCTTTTACCCTCCATCCAGCGCGACTATGCTAAGATTATGGGCGGCAACAATAACGGTTCTATCCAACTAATTAACGAGAATGGCCAGGGGATTGTGGCCGTCACCTGTAAGTATCCTAAAAGGGTTCGGAGTAAGGCACTTGGCAAGAAACTTGATTGTCTCGGCCTTGAAATCAAGATTCAGAAAGGCGATATAGGGACGTCAGATCAGCGTGGCAACCACGAATGGCCGGCTATCAATGGTCATCACACCGTGCAGCCTAGTTCCGGGGCTTCGCTCGGGGTTTCGAAGAACGAAAAATTGGAGGCCTCTGTATCACTGGGCGGATACGTCAAGATCCGTAAGACAGGTAGCCGAACTTGGAAGTGGTATGCCACAACAAGTCACCATTTGCTTGAAGACGGAATCGATACAGAGAGCGATAGAGGTGAGAGTGGCCATAGTGACGGTAGTGACGATGATTACGACGGCGACTGGGATGATATAAGTGAGGATGAAGATGGGTCTATAGGTGATGGTGAGGGTGTCGAAGGTGTCGAGGGTGGTGAGTGGAGGCCTACTAATTCCGAGGTTCTTACCCCGGGCGTTCGGGATGGAGCTCTGCGCCTAGAGGACGAACTACCCCGTACTTTCGAGATTCAATCCCCGTCGAAAATATATCACGACCGCGCTTTGGAGAGACTCAAAGAACGAAAGAATTTCGTCAAGGATTTTCCAGGCCTTGAGGATCTTCTCCAGTTAGACGGCGCAATAAGGGATCTTGAAAAGGCCAATACATTTTTTGGAAAGGTTGAAGAATCATCCGGTCTCTGCATAGAGGGGAATAAGCAGGTATGTAATTCCCTATAAAGGTAGATTAACACACCATTGTCTTGTTTAACTAAATGGCTCGGCAGATGGACTGGTTGTTAATCGGTAGTATCCCCCGCGAACGAATTGGCTCGAACGATAACCGGGACTGGTCTTCCTTTGTGGAGGGGGTGCCCCGCGGATCCCGAAGTCAGCCGTCCTCTAGATTAGCATTCGTGAGTGAGGATAAATTCCATAGTCTCACCTCTGTAATCCACCAGTACTACGAGAAACACGGGGACAGGCCCTGCCCGTATTCACGCATCCACGGCAGCGGATGCGAGAGTGGACTCTCGGACGGCCAACTTCTCGTTCCACCAGTCGTTGTTCAGCTCAACAACATGAGCCCAACCACCGAATGGACCTTTAAACCACGTCGAAACAACGGCCTCGGCACCTTCGGTGACTCAGGCACCTGGCTCTACACTGCGTTGGGCGAACTGCTCGGGCAGGTTCTGGGCTACGACCCAAAAAACGACGTCGCATTCTACACACCCATCTACCTTATTTTTGACCACATGAAAAAGCACATCGGGGCCGAGGACATTCAATTACCCACCAAGGAGGACTACAACCAGCAGCAGTTTGTGAAACCATCTCCGATCTTGATCCCCAGTACACCACGCACGCCGCGGAAGGCGAGCACGATGCCAGTGCATAACCCATTGAGTTTGCTGCTGACGCCGCCGGAGGATGCGAGTGATAGGGATACTGGGCCGACGCCGCATCCGTTAGTTTGTTTAGCGTCAGAAGGGGTATGTTGTTCGCATTCGTATGAGCGCTCATTGGCGCCGTCTCCTCCAGTGTGGGAGCCGGATTCGCATTAGTAGGTGAGGTGGTTGATTGGGGTTACTGTGCGAGTTTTCCGTGTATGCTTTGGGTGATTACAGGGAGGAACTGGCGCTACTTATCACCGCCAATACCCATTCCCTATGTATCTGCGCATTGGATTTCCCTAGATCGGGCTGATGGCTGATGGAAAGAACGACGTATGGTTCCCATGTCATGCATTACCTCTTCAGGGACACTTTTCTATTACGAGCTCACAGCATTTTGTGTGTACATGCAGTATATACACACCCTATCCCCTTTTTCTTGCGGTACGCAAGAGCTCTTCCCTAGGGAAATTTGGAAAATACCAACGACCAAAAAGGGTGTACGTTGGCTTCTTTGTTCTTTTTTTATTGGTTTTTGGGTAGTGTTTTTGTGTTAATGGTTTCATGAGCATGTATGTATGTATGCACGCGGCAATGGCACCGATAACAATAGGAAAGTCTCCCTGTATTCTCCTCATTCTGTAGCTGCTCTATTTGCGAGACTCCTCCACTCGAACAACCATCTAGATTGGCATATCCGTTCACCGTGCTCTCCACGTATGTAAGGTGAGGTACATAACCAGACCGACCTTTCTAGGCCCGGGCCGCAGCTAGGCCAGGACTGGTATGCTCTTGCGCACGTGCACTCAACGTATTCGGAGTATTCGGAGCATTTGCCTTTGGGGTCTAGGATATATGATTTATTGCCGTACCATCAAGTGCAGGAGTAGAGGATGTGGTGGAGGACCCGGTAGATTTGTATGAGGATCTTGGGACGTTAAACCCGGGAGAATAGAGTACCCCCTACTCCCCGAAGAAACCAAAAAAAAAAAAGGTTCGAATGTTTACATCCTACATCCTTCTTTCTTACCGTCATTTATTTATTTACTACGAATTTCATTTATTATTCCTATCTAAATTTTCTATCTACTCTACTTTTTTTTTTTTCGGTTTCGGCGTGGTTCGAACTCTTGACGTGCCGGGACAACCTGGTGTGTTTTCCTGCGTCAGGACGACTCGCACTAGGTTGCCGCCGGGTTGGAATTGAGGCGCGTTAGTTTGGGTTATGGGCCTTCCCAGAGGGGGGCGGCGAGATGCTTTTTTTTTTGAGCGGGGGCGCGATGATGGGTTTGTTTTATTCTAGTTTGGAATGAAGTCTGAGCTGCGTTCTTGGATTTTAGTTACATTCTTTCTGGGTGGGCTGGTGGCGGTGATAGCTATCTTACCTGAAGCCATTGGAGTCCACGAGAGGGCGTTCTCTCCTGGCAACGGTGTGATCCCGCCGGTGGCCACCGCAGCGCTAAGAACACGTGCCATTGCACCTTGGGGGTTTAGTTTAATATAGTCCCCACAAAAGCCTCCGCCTCAGACCTCTACAGCTAAGCTGGGGCTGGCATAGTTAGGAGCGGCAATAGAAGGCATATCCAACCGCAGTGGTGTTGAGAATCGAGATCTTGTACCGCAGCATCTCCTGCTGCCAACATTCATGACTTCGCTGGAGATATTCTCAACGACACATCCCAGCAAACTTGTAGATTGCCACTATAAGCCAGAAGCAATTACAGCCCTCAAAACATAGGTAAATACTCCAACCTCGAAATTAGTAGCTGCCAGGTCCTACCGGATGGCAATAAAGCTCCGTAACGATACAACATTGTTAGACTCCCGGTCCATTCCGGCTGGTAGGAAAGGTTATTAGCTGGTGGGGTGTGAGACCGAGACTGTATACAGTCATCCAGAGCTGCTTCTGCTTTCTTTTCAGCCAAGGCTTCCCTGTTTCTTGACCCCAAAGGGATTTGTCGTTCTGGAAAAAGATGCACATATCGCCCTCCCAAAAATCTCCCAAGTTAATTCCTAACCACCAGGAGGCCGCCCTTAACACGAGATGATAAAATATAAATTAAAAAAAATGTGATGAAATAGATCGTGCCCGGGTTCGAACCGGGGTCGCCGGAAGGGTGAGGATCAAAATCCGGAGTGATAGCCACTACACTACACAACCTTAGCTGAGTGCCAACCTTATTCACGTAATGATCTGAGGGCTGATTGGCGAGTATGTGTCGCCAGGATCGCCGCGTGGAGGGACATTTAGCAACGACGTTGCTTCGGGCTGTGCTTGCCCCTCCTAGCAAATATCGCCGAGCAGCCATCACCTTAGCAAACCGGTAATGCTAGTCTCGACACAACTGTGGTATAGACATCGGAGGCAACCCCCCCTCGTTCTTCTAAGGTCATTCCGTCTGCTCTGGTATTTTTCCTGCAACGATAGAGCAAAGTAGATGCTTTCAACAAGGTTACAAAGTAGTCGCGAAGAGGGTGGCGGGAGAGCACTCCGACGGGCACCCAAAATTGATTTAATCTTCTGATTCCTTCCGTGCTGGTTGGTCTTGCATAACCCGCATCTCCTGTAATAGAATCTTCTTCAGGTCCCTAGACTAGATTTCGGGCACCAACTAAGTTTTCCCGCCCTAAGAATCTTTGTTGGGAGAGTTAGGACTATTCTTGCGGGAGGAAATGTTAGAATATCGGTACTTCGAAGGTTGATGGAATCGAAAGGAATTGATAAACTGAAAGAACATATCTAGGTTGGGCAGGTCTCATGGCGGATAAGATAACGGAGAAGTAGACAACTTATGGTTTGTCTACGAGATCATTTAGTCTGGGTGAGTGTCGCCAGCCATGATGGAGTGAGGCTAGTCAAGATCAAAACAGGAGCTGGACCGAAGGAGCTGGTGAACGAGAAGTGCTGGGTATAACCTAATAGTAGTGCTTCTTGGGCGAGTTATATTAACTCGCTCTCTCTTGGTAGCCATACTTTTGGAGATCTTGAATATTGGAGATCACTGGAGGTCCGCCAGGACTTTCCTCTTGCATCTAGGCTCCCACACCCTTGAGCCTCCAAAAATCATGAAATACTAAAACGAGGCAGCTCTGGAGACACTCGCTTCTAGTGTGCCCTTTTAGGCACATAACGTGTCTAGCCCATCCTAGTATAAACACCTTTAGGAAAGTGTCATCTTCATGAAGGCATCCAGCCTTACATATTCGTTTGGGTATCCTATGCTATTAGGCCCGAGTGTGACCGGGGGTCTCACCCGTCCGCGATTTCCAGTGTTGGTGCGAAAGCCTACGTTTTTGCAATTGAGAGACACTCTGGTCAAAATGCCATCTGAGAAAAGCAAGTAGGTGAACGAACAGCGAGTCGCAGTAGAATCTAAGAAGGATATAAAGGAATCGAGACTTTTATACAGGGAAGAAGGTATAAGATCGCCAGGAACGGTCAGTAGCCTTAAAGCTTTTCCGGATAACCCCGGAATTCCTAGAAGCGCGTTTGAAGCACTCTCCCGCAAAATAAAAGCTCACTAATATATACAGCCTGGGGTACTCCGCATTCCCAAGGCTTCCTAGGCTCACCCCCTCAGATTAGCAAGTATGTCCTCAGCAATCCGACTCGGAAGTGCGCAAACGGAAGACTAAATAAACTGACATAATGAAAACGGTATTGCATATGCATCCCCAGAGCAAATTCCAGGAGTACACCCGGCGATCTCGCGAGTATCCCTGGCGATTCCGGGAGTACCCCAGCAGTCACGGAAGCGCTCCGGTAACCTTAATGTGGTTACCGGCTCCTCGCCGCTTTTCTTCACTGAGGGGGTAGTGTCTGCGATAGACCGCCAATAGACCTCTCTAAATCGCGCTCTAGTACACTCTCAGTGACTAAAGTTGACAGTGTTATAACTCCTTCGATTGAGAGTTGAGATGCAGCCTCCATGGCAGCTTCGCGCATGGGATGTATAATATGCCGATGCTCTGACCAACTGGTGCTATGCATTTCCATTTGTCTGAATTCCAAGTACGTATATCCCCAAGGGCACGGCGTGCTCCTGAGGTTTCCCGGGCGATTGATGTGGAGGTGCCCTCTTGCTCTGTCAGTTCATAGCTTTCGACTTGATTATTTTAGTGCCGTTTCGCAAAGTCAGCTTTCCGGTAAGATACAACTTTCAAATAAATAGAAATAGGTGTATATTTGAAAATTGTACGTACATTATTTCAAAGTTGCCCCCGCGAACTGGCATTAATGCACTCTGCGGCCAGGTTAGCTTCCCGAAACACTACCGGAATGCCCCTCCGCGGCACTCTTGCCGGGCCTGAAACATGATGGCGCCCTCCCGTATGTTCGGTCTAGGTATGGTGTTGGATGCGTCGGGATCCCGACGCACCTCGGGCATCCTCTAGAACCCCACCTTGGTGCTCATGCTGGCTCTGGAACATAAATTGCTGATGTGGGTTCATAAAGGGGACCCTCCTAGCATATAGTCGGGAGTAAGCATTGTTCGGAGAACAATAACACCCTCCACACCATGGCAAGTGCAGAACTTAAGGTTCCACTGATGAGATTTCACGTATTAACCAAATAGCCACTTCCGAAACCTTTTCATTTCTTCGGAAGCCCTCCCCCCCAGGCATCCGTGGGTCCCGAGAGTATGGTATATGCCGGAGCCGATGACATAGAGTGCGGGGGAGTGGTAAGGAGTTATGCATTGGCCATTCATCTCCTGTTAGCGAGGAAGTGGAAACCTCAGTGAATGGGTTTTTTGGTAAAACACACGTTGCGGTAGGAGGTCTGGGAGGCCGATAGCCAGAAGCATGGTTGCATTCCACCAACACGGTTACATGAAAGTACATGAATGCTCAGAAGGGCCTAATCCGCCCATTAGAAGAAGAGTATTATTAAAAGATATCAGCCGCCAGTGTCTGGGTTGTACATGTTTAACAAACGCCTTTATAGCCAAGCCGCAACCTCATAATGGCACATTAGCAACACGGAAACGCCAGTGGTATCTTACAAGTATAAACAACCACCTCATCAGATACCTCTATGCTTAGATGACGGACGTGCTGACAGGACTGTCGTGGGTGTTTCATATGGGATTCTCCATCCCAGGTGAAGGTGTCGCGGGTATTGTGCCCGTACCCATCACTGGCGTTGACCTCGTTCCTGGGGTCGACGATGAACTTGAACCAGGCAGTCCCCGTTTCATCATCCTGCCCAAAGTATGCACCAGCTCCGCTGCATCTTCAAACATCTCGTCGTCCATCCCCTCTTCGGCATTATACACATCAGCGATCGAAAGTTTCGCCAGGCGTCTTGCTCCTTCCAAATCCTTCAAGCAATCATATAGAAAGGCGCAGTATTCTAGTTTAACGCTCAGCCTTAGTGGGTGGCTGCCCGGGAGGAGACGATCAGCGAGTCGAGCCGCTTCCGCAAAGCAGGCTGAAGCGGTCGGGATGTAGTCGATCGCTGGAAGAAGGAAACTACCGGTGGGTTTTGGAATCGATACGGGGGTAAGACCTGGTGGCAGAGAGCCACCAACCGGCCCACCATTCATCATTCGCTCAGGCGAGCGTGAACCGAGTCCAGGCGGATCACGAACGGGAGTCTTTCCCTTGCCACCTCCTGTTGCGTGGCCATTCATCTGGGGCGATGCGATACCAGGAGGACGAGAATAGGTCGGAACAGAAATTTGGTTCGTACGGGGGTCGTTGTGAAAGAGGACGAAGATGTGATAGAAGCTTGCCCTTAGCTTAAAAGCCAGTACCCTAAGCTCTGTGTAGCCTGACATCTCAGGCAGAACCCACTCTTCGAGCATCCTCAGACCTTCTCTCGATAGCCATATGATATGGTGATATAGCCGGAGGGATTTTGTATCTCTAGTAAGGTCAAGCTTCCGGAGTTTGCGAGCCTTGACGAGCTGCTTGGAGAGATTCACGGACAAGCCTAGGATCCTAAACAGGAATGCTGCTAGAATGGGTTGATTGTTGTCAAGATTCTTCGCAAACTGACCGAGAAACTTTTGATCAACGTCTGAGGACGCCATCTAGTGCGGCTAGGAAGCTGGAGTTGCTTTGGAAGATACACCGAATGCTGACCCGACCAGCCTTATTTGGGACCCTAATATAGGATAGCCCAAGGGTATCAGTAGGTAGAGGTGAATGCCTGAGAATGTAACTAGGAGTCAAGGCGAATGCGTGGGCGCAAATAGAAGTGCCCTAGTACGGTCCCGGGCTTGCCGCGCAGCTCACTATGGAAGTTGCGTCTAATGTTGCAGTTTGGATGATGGGATAATCGGCAAAGATGATTGGGCGAATCTTTTGATGGAGCTGACGCCCAGCAACTTCGGAAAACCCCAGTACGCTGCTCCAGTGAATGTTTGAATCGCTAACCCGTAGATACAGATGTGCTCAAAAGCCCAAGTTTTGGGAGACAAGCACTCAAGGTACGGGCTGACGTGTCTCTAGGGTCCGCAACCACGATAACCAACCAACCTCCAATACGATGTGATTTGATCAAAACACAGTGTTTCAGGCCCCGGATATGGTAACCAAGTTTTATTCGAGAGCTTCCTGATATATCCCCCAATAGCGCGCACCTGCTCACTTCTCCGGATAGACTCTGTTATTTCGATATGCGTATGTTGATTAAATGAAGGACTGCAATGGAGCGAGGCTAGGGAGCGTAGAGGGCCGCCGCTGGTCGGTTTGGATATCGATACAGCCAGTACGACTTTGCGCAAACATGTAGTCCTACCACAAGTTCTCAATGTTAAAGTTGCCTCGGACAGAAACATGTACTTGAAACAATTAAGAGATGATGCACTAACCTAGGGTATGATCGACATGCAATGACAGCTTGCTCCCATTCGTGAGTTAACGACAGGTTGATAGCCAATTGGAGACTCAGGCAATTTATATTGTACCTGACAGAGGTCAAGACGTCTTCGAGGCGCGAAAGACAGGTTGATTCCACGGTCGACACAACATATCGTCGCCAATCTCAGTAGCACAGGACGACGGGACAAGAGGTATCGTCCAGTATAGTACTCGAGGCAGCGGTGTGTAATTCAGTTGAGGCCAGACCCTTGGTGTATCCTAGTCTAACTGTTGCGTTACTAGACTGAGCTCTAACTCAATTGCGAAGGCGATTGAATTGAACCGGCGGCT